TAAAGAGGTAATCCTGAATTCTCCACATGGGCCCAAAATGTAATAATCACAGGTGCCCTTACAAAAAGAAGGCAGAGGGAGAGAGAGTTGACCCAGAGAAAGGAGGCAAAGTGACACTCCAGCTGCACTCTATGCTGCTGGATCTGAAGAGGAGGGAGGAGCCATAGCGAAGGAATGCAAGAAAAGGAGCTTTTGCAACTGAAAAAGACAAGGAGATGAATTCTTCCCTAAGTCTTAGGAAGTAGCACAGCCCTGCCCAGGCCTCAATTTTGGCCCAGTAGAACTGATTTCAGACTTCTGAATTCCAGACTATAAGAGAATAGATGTGTTGTTTCAAACCACAAGTTGTGATTTTTTTTTTATAGTGGCAACAGCAAACTAATACACTGTTATATCCATTGGTACAATCAGGAAAGTTTAGAGAAGGAATAAATAACACCCTGGTCCCAGGGAGTATATGATAGAGGTTTCAGTCCTCATAAACTTTTTTATCATTAAGCCAAATTTTTTGAAGCCAAATTGTCATTTGGACCAAACTAATTAGCCAAATCTATTTCCACCATGTTGAAGTGGGGCAAAATGTAGTTAGGTCTCCCGAGTTAGGACCCACCAGTCAATCAGTGAGCTGTGTGACCTTGAGCAAATTCTGCAGCCCCATCTCCTTGGCTCTTCCCACTAGAAGCACAGGGCCCGGGATGGGAGGGCACTTCACATCACACACATAGTCAGACACGGCCTTCCCAGAGACTCTGTTCAGTTCATCTGGGTGGGGCTTGGGCATCAGTGGCTTATGAAAGCCCCTAGGTGATTCTAGCACGTAGCCAGGGCCCAGCACCACCTGTACCTTTCTGAATCCCAGAAAGAGATGGAACTCCTAGGTAGGTCACCTATTCATGAATGTGATGATCCTCAAATGAAATAATCCATGTCAAGTGCTTAGCACACAGGAAACCCTCAGTAGTTATTCATTATCATAAGACTTCAATCCGGACTGATAGATCACCTTTCTGTGACTTCTGCTGTATCCTCTCTTAAATTTCTGAGTGAATAAGACACTGAGTGAGTAAGTCACTAACAAGGTGACATTTCCAGGCACACTGAGATCAAACACCTCGAACTCCACAGACGTCTGTGTGGTGCTTTGTCTGTGGGGTTCCAGAGCCAGATTCGGCAGGTGTCTTGCTTGGAGCTGGCTCATGAATGTGTATTCTGCTCTGATAGGCAGACCAGAGTTTTAAAATCCTCCCTTAGGTTCTCAAGATTAAGAGAAGGAACCTGATTTACCATAGACTCCAGGGCTTCCTAAAGGGCGGGCTTAGTTTGGGGAAAAGAATTACTTTCCTCTGCTGTGCTCAGTGGTGCTGATACTGCTCTGCTGCCAGGTGACAGAAGGGAGCCCAGGGGGGCTTGGAGCACAGAAAGCAGAAATCGGGGGAATAAACTGGGCCAGACCCAGGTCTTTTGGGGTCCAAGGAGGTTTGCTCTCTCCCTGTCCCACACTCTGTGAAGTGGAGAAAGGGGATGATGGTTCTAAGATGATGATTACTGGTGAATTTACAACCCCATTCAGCATACAGCATCTTCGTCCCCCTCTGTTATTCTAATGGGTTTTTGGTAGAAGGCAATCTGAGACACCAGCCTCCATCAGCTGTAGGATAGTTCTGCTCTCTCATTACCCCTCCTCTTGGTTTTCCTTTTTCTGGGAAACAAGATTGAATGATCTTTCCTTTCCCTCTGGGTGTTGAGATCCTGGAAACCTGTTAAATAAACACGTCTACTAAAGGTGTTGATCTGTCCCGGCAGGCAGTAATTGCACCTCCAAGGCCTCAGAAGCTCTTGCTTCTGTGGATTGTCTCTACCCTGCCCTGCCAGATCTCTCTGTCTTGTTAGGGGCAGGCCCTGCCCTTCCCTGGGACTCAGTTTTCTCTGGGGTAAAATCAGGAGAATCATGCTGCTAGTTCATATTTTTCCTATCAGTGTGATGAACCCCCTAGCTCAAGTCATAAAACACAGGGCAGGATTTATTTCAGCTGGAAAACCGTATGACAGCCATGTGAGTTCCTTAGCATGAAATGCTTGCCTTCCAGTTTAAAAGCAGCTGATGGCTGAGTCCCCAAGTGCCCACTTCCACTCTGGCTTCCTAGCCTCTGCCTTGAGGCCCCAAATTTGTGCTTCAAATGCATGGCATATATAGGAGCATGCCTGACACAGCACAGGGAACACAAGGACCAGGCTCTCTGCTGACTGACCAGTCAGGGCCAGATGTTCTGTTATCTAGCGTTTCAAATATTACACCCGGGCCCTACACAGGCTGCACCACCTCTTAGTCATGATACAGCTTTCACAAAAAACTTCTTCCACTCTATGACATCTGAACCAAGTCCAGTTTGGAGGAACTGCAACTAGGGGTGCAGCTGGGAATGGAGCCACTTCCAACAGCAGGGTTGAAAGTATGTGGCAGAGCCACCTAATGATTTCCTAGTATCTATCTTCCTGTTGAGCCGCTGAAACAGAAGTCCCAATATTTTGGCCACCTAAAATAAAGACTACATTTCCCAGCCTTCCTTGCACTGATTTATACCATGTAACTCTGTCCTGGCCAATGGCATATGAATAGGAGTGTTTGGGGACTCTCTTCAAAGCACACTTTGCCTTCTTGTCTTTACCCTGCATCCTGCCACTTGGATGTGAGTGTGATAGTTGTCAGTTTGAATTACAGAGACAGCGCCCACTGCTAGGGATCACCAAATGGTGACCTGGAAAGGGTGCAAGTCCGAGAGAGTCCCTGAGCTACTTCCCTCAACTGCTTTCCTCTGGGCTTCTTTTTTTATTTATTTAGCAAATCAACTACCAACTGGAATAAGATGTTGTTCCCGGGATCTCTGTTACTCAGAAATGAACCTAATTCTCTCTCTCTCAGGCATGGGATCTGAGGAAACTAAGTGTCATCTAACCAAGTCATCTTTCTGTCTTAGCATCCCTCTGCGCCTCCTAGGACAGCATCTAAACTGCTTAGCTAAATATGCCAGGCCTTCGTGATCTGTCCCTCTTACTGCTCCTGCCTGGACTCTCTCCCTCGCCCTACTCTGTCATCATGCCACAGCCCCAGCCAGAAGAAGCTGCTCACCACTCCCCAAGCCCCAAGCTCTTCTCATCTCTGGCCTTCTCACCTGCAGCTCTGTCTTCCAAAAATGCCTTTTCTTTCTCCATGTAACATTCTGGACTTGGCTCCAGCCTCACCTCTCCCAGGGAGCTTCCCTTCCCCAAGTTTTATTTTGTTGTTTGTTCCCATTTCCTGTTTGTCTGTTCTCTTGGCTTCAGTGGGCTTTCGGCACTGTAGGAGAGTAGCTTGCCAGTTGTGTCTGTCTGCCTACCCAGTCTGTGAGCCACCTGAGGATGGAGATGGTGTCTGCTTCGTCTCTGCACTGCTAGGACCTGGCGCAGGGCCTCACCTAGGCTGGTCGTTGGAGACAGGAGCTGAGTAAAGGAAGGAATGGTAGATGGCAGATGCTTGCTAATGTGGGGACTGCTGGGCCTGAGGAGGAGCTGTGCTGATGACACTTTCTGTGAACCAGAGTGAACTGGCTAGAGACAGAGTAGAAAGCAAGCACATCCCAAGCCTCTGCTCACTTCTGTTCCCCTCCTCTGGTCAGCTGAACGTCAACCCTCCTGGATCCAAAGAGGCCCTAGTGTGTTCCTTGGTGAATCTACACTGCCTGACATTAGCAGCAGGGCAGCATTTCAAACTCACCCAATCATCAAATGTGAAGATACACTGGGTCCCTGCCAATGCTTTGAACTTAACCAGCTTCCTAATGGCTTATATCTAGCCGTGATAATGGTATGGGAAAGTTAATCACCTGGGTTTCACTAACAGCATGCATTCAGTATCCAAATTGTGGGTGCAAGATCTCTGCTAAAAATAAACACTATTTATTGGCTGCATTAAGTTGGGGGTGGGCTGGGCCTAATGTAGTCCTCACAATATTCCTCTTCCTTTACAATGCCAAAGACAGCTGAGAGGGAAGAGGTTGTTCAGTATCACACAGAGGGACTGAGGGAGGACGAGGATCCAGGCTCTGACACCCAACTTCCTGTCCTCTGCACCATCCCTGCTGTCCAATAATTAACCTTGCACTTAGATAACAACAAGGATCCCTCGGGACCAATAAAGAGAGTCAGAAAGGGGACAGGTCCATCCACACAGAGTCTCTGAACCAATAGGATACATTCCACTTATTTGCTACCATAGTCTGTTCTTAAACTTCTTGTGGACAAGTTTAAATATACACAGAAATAGACAGGCAGTATAATGAATCCCTTTGTGCTCGTCAGTTTCCAGCTTTGGTAATTATCAACACCTGCTACTCTTGGTACCATAACTTGGAGTCCTAGTTCTCCTAGGAAACTCAAGGAGACCTACACTGCAATCAGAATGATCTTTTCAGAGTACAAACTGGGTGACATCAGCTTCCCCTCCTTCCTCCAAATTTTGCAGTAGAGGGCTGTGCTCCTGAAATGAAGATGGAGCAGTGGCTCCAACCCAGCCTGGACAGCCCATCAATGGACTTCTAAGTGAGAGAAAAATACATTTCTGTCTCATTTAATTCACTTTTATTTGGAGTTTTCTCTTACATCAGTAGTTCTAAAACCTGGCTACACCTTAGAATCCACAGAGAAGCTTAAGTATAAACCAAGAACAACAAAACCGGAAATCAGGATCAATACCCAGGATCTCTCTCGATCTGGACTGTGGCTCAGGAATCTGTCTCTAAAAGTTCTCCAGGGGAGACCAATGCGCAGCCGCAGCTGAGAACCACTGCTTCATTATACTCGTCTGAACTGATTCTGGCTGATAGGTGGTGTGATAGCTCATGCGTAGATGTCCCCCAAAGCCTCATATGGTCATAGGTGGGGCTTTTTCAGAGGTGGCTGGGTCTACAGTGTGTGATGCTGGAATTGAGTCATGGTGCAATGCCAGGGTCAAGGGCTAGACAAACATGACAAAGTTGCTCATCATCGTTACTGTGTTTCCATACAACAGGAGACTGCTGACCACCTGCCCTATCCCTCTGTAGGTCAAGGCACATAAACTCAAAGGCCTGCAAGGGCCAAATGAGTGAATGAGTGCCTTAGTTTGCTGTTGCTGCTGGAATAAATGATCACAAACTCAGTGGCTTAAACCAACACAAACTGATTGCTTTTAGTTCGGGAGGTCAGCATTTCAAAGGACATCTCACTGGGCTGAAATCCGGGTGCTGGCAGGGCTGTGTTCCTCGAGACACCGAGGAGGAAGTGGTTCCCTTGCCTTTTCCAGCTGCTCGTGTTCTTTGTATGGTGGCTGCATCACTCCAACCTCTGCTTCCATCCCTGCCCCCGATACTCTTTGATAAGGACCCTTGGGATTACACTGAGCGTACCAATGTAGAGTATTATCTCCTCTGAAGATTACTAGCTGTAAAGTCCCCTTTACTATGTAAGGCAGTGCTCTTATAGGTACCAGGTATTAGGATGAAGGCGTCTGTCTTTGAGGAGTTGTCATTCTGCCTACCAAAATCAGCGAACACAGTGTGAAGCAAAAGGAAATGGGAGGTATTATGTTGGTTTTGATCTAGAATGTCCCCCAGAAACTTGTGTGTTCGGGTAGACCTTTTGGAAAGTGACTGCATTGTGAGGGCACTAAGCTCATCAATCATAGCCAAATGAGCTTTTAGGGTTAGAGCCTCATTTAAGGAATTAGGTGACGGGAGGTCTGGCCTGGAAAGGTACATTTCCACCCCACCCCCATTTCCTGGCTGCCATGTGGGGAGCAGCTTTCCCCTGCCACACCCTTCTGCCATGATGTTTCTGCCTCGAGTCAGGTGTAAAAGTTAGAGCCAGCTGAAACCATGAGCCAAAATAAGCCTTTCCTCCTTTAAGCTACTTTTAGTAGGTACTTTGTCAAAGGAAAAAAGAAAGCTGACCAACATAGCAGGGCTTCCAAATTTTCAAGGAAAATTAGAAATGTCTTCTCTTCTCTCTCATCCCCTCCTCCTTCTCCTTTTTGGTTATCTTAGCTGGATCGTCACAGTCTTACTAGTGCCATCAGGGTGTCACTAGGAAAACAGAAGCCACTCTATGTGTTTTGAGTAGGAAGAAATTTAATATAGGGAATTAGATTTATATATTGTTGGGAGCCTGGGAAGTCAAGGGAGGGAGCCATTTTCAGAAAGTCTGGAAATGCTGGGATTAGAGGGAAGCCATCACCAGTGTTCTTGGCTGACCACAGTCCAGAATGGATACCTCTTAAAGGGTTGGGAAGAAATCCATATTTACAAATGCACACACATCTGTCCATGTGCTGTTTCCATCCTAGTGCCATTTATGTGCTTGGGCAAGAGCCTGGCTTCCAGACTGAATTTGGAAACTAATCTCTTGTGTGACCTTGGGTAGGTCCCATCCCCCTTCTGGGTCTTAGTTTTCTTAGCCTTAAAAACAGAAGAGGAAGAAAGCCAGGCAGAGAGAGTACTGAGTTTGTGATAAACACCGAAGGCTCATTTTGTCTGACAACATTCAGACTTTGGTCGTGTTTATAGAGTGTAAGCTTCACCTGGGAATTGAGGAAAAATACACATCTTGGTTTGATTTTTAAATGCCAAATCCCTCAGTGTTGTGACCCAGTCTTCCATTCTCAGTTCAAATGCAGAGAATGATTGTACTCAGTGTAGAATAAACAGTCCAGTTCACATGACTTTTTGTTTGGAATCTATGTGACCTGCTCATTATTCTCAGAGCTGAAATCTGCATCAGTAACTCTAGACATGTAAGGCTCTAAAAACACTGATGAATAGAAATCACTTCTCTTTCCCTACTCCCCACCCTTGCTCAAACACATTCCTGGTTGACTTTTTCTTCTAAATGATCCCACTGTGGCTGGGCTGTGTTATCTCACCCTTTGCCTTCAGATCTTTTTATCTAAATACTCAATGACTGCAGGCCCAGTGTGTGTTACAGAGGCTGGACTTTTTCTCCCCCTAATTAAAAGGTTAAACCCAAAACATTATTGAAAAATAGTCATCTCTTTACAAAACTAATTTGTGCATTTCCCTCTCAGCCACTGCACAATCATCCTTCTCTCCAAATCGGAAATGTGAAGCACCGTAGAAGGCTCTTAAATCTTTGGTACACTCTAGGTATACAGTACACTTACATTCATCATTGGGATCTTTTACCTCTACATGACAGGTCTTGGTTCTCATTTTTTCCCCCTGTCCCTGCCCTCCCTTCACCCTCTCATCCCCCTCCCCATGGAAATAATGAAAATTATTTCCATTTTTTCTTTTTCTCATATTTTTTTCTTTTCCCTTATTCCCTTTCCCCTATCCTTTCCACTTTCCTTATACCTTTAGCCCTTTTCTTCCCTTTCACATTGTTAATTATCTCATTAGGATCTTGTGTACTATTACAGTTTTTCACACCAGAGAAAGTATTCGGTATTTACACATGTGTGACTTATTTATTTCATTTAGGAGTATATCCTCAAAATGTATCCATTTTCTTATGAATGAATCTAATTTCTCATTTGTTATGGCTGAGTAGTATTCCATTTTATAGAAAAACCACATCTTCTTTATCCAGTTTCCAACTGACGGGCAAATGGGCTGTTTCCAAGTTTTAGCTATTATGAACTGTGCTGCTATAAACATAGGTGTGCATATATCACTGTGATATGATTCTTTTAATTCTTTTGGAAAGATACCAAGCAGAGGGATGGCTGGGTCAAATGGAACCTCTAGTTCCATCTCTTTGAGGTATCTCCATATTAATTTCCACAGTGGTTGCACCAGTCTGCACTCCCACCAACAATGGAGAAGGTTTCCTTCTCCCCACAATTTTTAAATGTTTAAATATTTTTACAAATGCCTTCCAACAGAATTATTTCAAGGAAATCTGATGCTGGCCACTATGTATGAAGTGCCCAGGTGGATATCCCAGATAGAATCTAGGTGCAAAGCACACAACAGAGAAACATCATGATGGAGTCACAGAATCCTCAAAGACTACTTAGGCCAGTGCTTCCCAAATATGGTTGCAAATCGGATGTATATTGGGAACTTAAAAAAAAATCTGGGTTCCAACTTGCATCTAATAATTTAGAAGCTCCGAAAGTAAGGGATAGGAGATTATAATTTTTTAAAAGTTCCTCATGCTGTTCTGATGCACAGCTAAACTTGGAAGCCCTTTGTGTAGTTCAGTCCTTATCTACTCCTTGTTCACCTACAGTGATGAGCAACGTGTTACCTCTCAAGACGGTCCCTCACATCCTTACCCGATTCTTCTTTGCCAGGAAGTTTTTCTCCTGTTTTCCTGTAACTTCTCCTCACTGATCTGTGTTTGCCTTTCTGGATCCCTGCAGAACCTGTTTTTGCCTTTCAGAGATTTGGAGGGTGTAGCTTGTCCCTTGAATTCTAAAGGGTAAAAACCCCCCAGGTCTCCTGCTGCACCTCATAGAGCTCAACCTTTCCAAATGAGAGCCACTTCTTGTCTACCACCAGCCTGTCACAAACAGACAGCTTTCCAGTGCAGTCTAATTACTTGAGTCTGATACATGCTTTGTCATGGACTCTCCACCTTTCCTTGATAATGCCTGTTAATGACTGACCACTTTATCACTAAGTCAATCAACCCCAGAATGCCATGCCAAGTGTCCAAGGGGTGTTGCCTGTCCACATGCTGTGGAGGAGACAGAAGAAGCTTTGTAAGAGGGTGATGTGTTTGCTAGAAGACCCCAAATAAAGTATAGGCATCAGAGTGACAATCAATGCCCCAAAGGGCAAGTAATACCCTCCATCCCCCTCCTCTTTCCACCATCTGGCTGACTGGCAGCACCCAGTTCACATGTAGATCTCTAGCTGCAAGGGAGGCTGGGAAACACAGCTGTTGGCTTTTGAACCTCTTCAACCAGGAGAGGGTGTGAAGATGGAGTGAGTGACGTCTTCTGGATGTCTGTCTTAGCATCCTTCAGAGCAACAACATGATGACCACCAAATGTTCAATGGTCAGCCGGGTATGGTGGCACATATGGGCAATCTCTGTACTTGGCAGGAGGATGCTGCGTTTGAGGCCAGGTTGAGCTACACAGCAAGTTCAAGACCAGTCTGGACTACAAAGTGTGATCCTGTCTTGAAAAACCAAAACCAAACCAAACCAACCGTCCAACAGAATTCCTACAGTGGACTTGTATGCTGCCTTGCAGAGAGGATGATGTTGTCTGTAGTAATAGAACACAAAAGTTCATAATACAGTGCTTACTGTGCTATGGGGCTTTTACAAAGCACTAAAATAGAAACCACTATATGATTTCATTTTTTATTAAAAGATGTTTTGAAAAATTCAGGGAAAAAAGGACCAGCAATTTGAACATCCAATCTTAATAATGGTTCCCTTTGGGAGACAAGATTATAAGTGATTTTTTTTCCTTCTTTGTTCATTCTTTATTTGTTTTCCAAGCATATATATATTTGGCCTTAGAACAAAAACGTGGATTATAATAAGGCATAAATATAAGATGTTAAAGGAATTGGAGAAAACATGAGTTAAAGTTAGAAAATTAGTTATTCGGGGGTAAGAATGAGGGAGAAGCAAGGCAGAGAAGGGGTTAAAGGATGGCAATGGAGTCAGGTGCATTACTAGCCAGGGAGAATCTTGCTCTTTGACCAGGGGGAGCTCCTGCCCCTCTCTGGGTCTCTGTTTCCTTTGCCAAACAAGTGCCTCAGGACTTGTCCTGAGCCTAGCAGCCGCTTGCTCAGCGGAGATGCTGTGGCCTAGCAGCACCGGGCGGCACCAGCAGCATCTCTGGGACCGGCGGCAGGAGTGGTCCTGGGAGATATCTACCCTTAAGCTGGACTGGAGCTGCATAAGAGCCAGAGCGCGAATCTCCTGCTGGTCGCTAACGCCTTTCCTTCCTCATCCCCTGGGCAGGCCTCGTGGCCATCCCTGCGTGCGGGCTATGCTCTCTGACCCTCTTCACCCCCTTTCCGCTACCCACACTCCATCATCCCGCTAGGTAGGCCCAGAGAAGCAGATGTCCTGCACACCCTCTCTTGTTGGTTTGATCCCAGCACCCACGCGCACCAGGCCCACTCCAGCCCTGACTGTAGCCCAGAGCGGGTGGGTGAAACCTGCTAGGGTCTTCAATACTGAGAAAGTGCGATGCTTCGCTCATTGGACTGGTGAACCGTAAAAAAATTCTCAAGGAAATGAAGTTAGGTCTGTGGAAACTCAAAATGAAGTTCCTATACTTTCTTGCTATCTGCAGTGAGTCGGTAAACAGCCCTAAGATTCCGTTTCTTCCAAAATAGAGGTCACCATCTGTCCTGAATGGCCAGGAGGCTGCAGGGAGGACTGGGGTATTTACACTGACACGGTCTGCACACTGTCAAGGGCGACCTCCCTGTGAGCAGAGATCTTCCTATACGCAAGTCGAGGTGATATCCAGACCCCATACAGGCTCTGAGTAGGAAGAGCCTGAGTGTGACCTAAAAGAGATTTGCCAGGATTGAGCTGGCATCATCCCTCCCACCTGCTTTTCACTTCCAATGCCTCACCGCATGGGCAATTGAGCCCCTCTTTCCTCCACTTCCCCTGGGAGTCTTCCCCTCCCAGATTCACGACTCTGGTTTGGTAGCAAGTTTGCTTCTGTCCCAGAATGTGACAGGACCCTTATCAAAACAGAACTTCAGGATACCCCTGTGAGTGTGCTGGCCCTGTGCCCTCAGAGGGTGGGCTTTCCTGGTCAACACTGATTTTGTGGGACTCCTCTGAATAAGTTTCTTTGTTCCGCTCCCTGCACATTCTATCTGTTGAGCTACTCTTCTGTAGCAGACATACTTCCAGGGGTCGGAGACATAGCGATGAATATCAATAATCAATCAAAATTCCCCACCCTCGTGGAACTTACAGTTACTGGGAGGAGGCAGACTAACCACACACATATACGTACAGTATTTGGAAGATGAGCTGGAGGAATATACACAGTGGGGTGCATGGAATGGAGCACATGGAGTTGCAGGAGTTGTAGTGTTATAAAGGGTGATTAGGGAAGGCCTCGCTGAGGAGATAACATTTGAGCAGAGACCCAAAAGAGGTGTGCGAATGAACCACAGAGTTAGGGAACACGGTAGAATTGGGGCCCTCATAATTCACAGTTGTAGAAGTGAAATCAGAATGTCTGAGTTGGTGGGCTTTGAGTGGCCCCTTTGCCCCCTCCCGTCCCGTTCACCCTGGTTATATCTGTAGCCAGTGGGCTGTGCTTCCCAATGCCCCATCTGCTCTGCCTCCAGGATAGGACTGCCCAGAACTCCTCGGCTTGCCCAGAACTCCTTGGCTTCAGTCCTCCCCAGCTCCATCCCAGACCCAGACATCTGCTACAGCCAGCTCTTCATTAACAATGAGTGGCACAATGCAGTCAGCAAGAAGACCTTTCCCATGGTCAACCCTACCACAGGAGAGGTCACTGGACATGTGGCTGAAGGGGGCCAGGCTGATGTGGAGCTGGCTGTGAAGCAGCTCAGGAGGCCTTCCATCTGGGTCACCGTGGCACCATGTGAATTCCTCCAAGCGAGGCTGGCTCTTGAACAGGCTGGCTGACCCGGTCTCACTGGAGGCTTTGGACAACAGGAAGCCCTTCCAAGAGTCTTATACCTTGGATCTGAATGAGGTTATCAAGGTGTACTGCTACTTCAAGGTGTACTGGCTGGGCTGACAAGTGGCATGGCAAGACTATTCTCATGGATGGTGAGCATTTCTGCTTCACCCACCATGAGCCTATGGGTGTCTGCGGCCAGATAATCGCATGGAACTTCCCCTTGGTCATGCAGGGCTGAAAGCTTGCCATAGGCAACACTATGTTAGGAAGGCTCTGAGCAGAACACCATTTCTGCCTTATACTTGGCCTTCCTTGTCAAAGAGACTGGCTTTCCCCCTGGGGTGGGGAACATCATCACAGGCTATGGTCCCACCACGGGAAGAGCTATTGCCTGGCACATGGATGTTGATGAAGTTGCCTTCACCAGCTCCACTGAGGAGAGCCACCTGACCCAGAAAGTGGCAGGTGATTCCAACCTCAAGAGAGTCACCCTGGAGCTGGTGGGTAGAGCCCCAGCATTGTGCTGGCCTATGCAGACATGGATCACGCTGTGGACCAGTGTCATGAAGCCCTCTTCTTCAACATGGGCCAGTGCTGCTGTGCTGGTTCCTGGAAGTTTGTTGAAGAATTTATGATGAGTTTCTCGAGAGAGCTGTGGAGAAAGCCAAGCAGAGGAAAGTTGGGAATTTGAGCTGGATACCCAACAAAGTCCCCAGGTGGACAAGGAGCAGTTTGAAAGAATCCTGGGCTATATCCATCCTGGCCAGAAGGAAGGGGGCAAAGCTTCTTTGTAGAGGGGAGCATTTTGGGAAGCATGGTTGCTTCATCAAGCTGACAGTTTTTGGTGGTGAGCAGGATGATGTGAGGATTGTTAAGGAGGAGATCATCAGGCCCGTTCAGCTTCTGTTCAAGTTCAAGAAGATTGAAGAAGTGATTGAGAGGGCCAACAACACCAGGTATGGGCTGGCTGCTGCTGTGTTCATGCAGGATCTGGACAAGGCCATGTACTTCACCCAGGCACTCCAAGCGGGAACTGTGTGGGTGAACACCTATAACACTGTGACCTGCCACACGCCATTTGGGGCTTTAAGGAATCTGGCAGTGGGAAGGAGTTAGAGACGATGGGCTTTGAACCTACACTGAGGTGAAGATAGTCACCATCAAGGTTCCTCAGAAAAACTTGTGAGAATAGGCCCATGCAGGACCAGCCCCAGTCCAGCCATTTCACAACCAGCTAGACCAGTGGTTGCTAAATGAGTTTTAGTCATGGATCCCTTTATTGTCCCAAATACAAGGGAACCCCAACAAATAAGGCAATTAAATTAGAGCTGTTCTATTTGAAGCAGGCACCGATCCAGGCACAGAGTTCTACTCACCTGCTCCCCAGATCCTGCCCACTTGGTGGTACTTGACTTACTTCTGTGAAACCTTAAGACTCTCTGGGAGACAAATTAAAAACCACTCATTAGATGGACACTTTTAGTCCTTCCTGTAGATCCAGGGACTTTCCAGCAGATTAACTCAGTGGCTTTGTGGATGGACTCAACTCAGACATGGGATTGAAAGGCATTAGGAATTTTGAACTAAATGGACATCAAACCTTGGCCCTACTCTTCATTGACTTACCTGGAAAGTCAAGGCTGCTTTTTCCTTCCAACTTCCAGTTGTTGACTATTTTGTTTGCTTGCCTTTCATTTTGCTACTGAGTTTTCTTAATTTGAGGGAACGGGTAGGCAAAGAATGCAATTACATAATCATATCTTAAAAATAAACACCCCAGATGTCTGTCAGCTGTTGAGTGGATAAACAAAATGTCTCCGTGGAATATTCCTTCAACTCTTAACCACAGAAAGAATGAAGTACTATTATATGCTCCAACATGAGTAGACCTTGAGAATATCATGCCTTGTGAAAGAAACCACACATACAAAGCCACATATTATATGTTTGCATTTATATGAAATATCCAGACTAGGCAAACCTATAGAGATAGAGAGTACATTAGTGACTGACAAAGGCTGGGGAAGGAGCAAATGAGGACTAACTGCTCATGCGTATGGAATTTTTAGGGGGAGACTTTAAAAATGTTCTGGAATTGAACAGAAGCAATGGTCGCACAACTTTGCAAATGTTAAAAAGTGCTGAATTACACTTTAATTGTGGTATGTGAATTAATTTTATTTAAAAGTTAAACTGATACATTCTGTTTGCATATCTGTTTTGTCTCAATATTTTCTTGCTGCTAAACATTTTAGAGTTTGGGGTCTAGGCAGGGACCCAGGTAGTCATCTAGTCAACCTCCAGCCAGGTATAAAAGTTGGCTGACGATAAAGTGCAAATTTAAGACCCATGAGAAAAGCTCTGGTTTCCGCTCAGAGCAAGTCTGTCTCATTTCTAGCCTTCCACTAATGTTTTTCCCCCTGACGCCTACAAAACCACAGCACCCCTCAACACAAGCCCAGCATCAGGGCCATCCTGACATACTGGGCGGGGGGGAATGTCTCTAAATCGCAAACCTCAGCATTCACTATGTTCATTGTTAATCTTGCTACTTTCATTTCCCCATGTGATGAAAGTCAAGTCCAGGCTGGCCAGGCAAGGTCAGAGCAGAATGCTGTGCCTGTCTCTTTCTCTTCCATCTTTCTAATCCATGTTGCTTATAAATCACCGTATGGTTAAGTCCACTTGTTCTACTGAGTGCACACCCCAGTCATCAGTTGAATATCCTCACATCAAGATGATTTTGTTCATTATCTTAACTTGGGTTTGACTTGAAATTGTTTCTTGAGGGTTTAGGGTTTGTTCGGTTCCCCCATCTCTCTTCCTAGGATCACCTTTCTATGCCACTTGTCTAAGGCATAACCCAGATTCTCTTCTGAAGTGCACCCTCCATCTGCTTCCTTTGGAGGCTATGAGTAGCCCTGCTGCACAATACTCCAGATTCCTTACGGACAGACAGGCTTGGGACATGGGAGTAGGGGGGAATGGGTGAGCATTTGTAATGCTAACACCAACACCTCATTAATATCTGAACCTTAATACTTCTAAACCAGAGAGGAACTTTGTAGAGGGTGTCCCACTATGCATTGGGAACAGTCTTTAAGGTCCCTTATTTTGAGCCCTGAAATTCTGAGACTGAACACTCAGATGAGATTTATAACCAGTTTTGCCCTCGAGATCCCTCTCCCTTCATTTTACTCTGCATGCAGACAGCGTAAAATACTACTGAAATTTGCACTGAATGCAAACCCGTGAGCAGTAGACATCATGATTCAGTCCAGATGTGGCTGGAAATACTGAGAGGTGGTGCCATAGATGCTGCAGGACTGGGCCACTGATCCCACTGAGAATCTTTCATCATGTTCTTCCTTGGTCAAGTGCACTGCCAGGTACTTTTGCACACCACTGAGGCCTTACAGCACTCTTGTAAACAAGACTGGAGTTACCCATTTTCCCCTTCTCCGGATGAGGAATCAGAAGCTGAGAGGTTTAGGAAGTAGCTTATTTGGGGTCATTTTCCCATGAGCATGCTGTAGTGGCCAGAGAGAGGGCCAAACCCAGGAGCTTGTTGAGTCAAAAGAAACTGAAGGAACCGAAGAACCCACAGTGACACCAACCACGCCCAAAATACTCTGCTTCTTACTGGACCCAGTGGGACTGCAGCTCAATCTTGCTCCTTCTCTTTATCAGATTTGAGGCTATTTAGGAACTTTAATTTGGGTTGGCTCCATTCTGGGTATGAGGCTGACCTCTGGTGGTCACCCTTTTGATTAATTTGCTCAGATCATTCAAGGGGTGTGCATGGGGTCAACTCTAGGCTAATTGTTGAAGGAAAGAGAAATGAAGAAGACAGTCTGCCCTGTGGAAGCTCACAGTCTAGCAGGAGAGGTGACTGCAGAACCAGGTGAAAGTGTAATGGCAAATAGAAGTACAGAGGTCATGAGGTACTGAAAGCAAAAACATTATTATTAAACATCCCCGATGTATCATCTCTTTTAATGCTCTCAACTGCTCCAAGGCAATTACTTGACAATACTTCCCAAGTATTATCATTCTACACTTGATAAGTTTGAGCCCTGGAGATGCTCAGCTGGGAATTAGAGTCTGGACTCCCACAGGGGTCCTCTTTTCCTCTACCGCAGGCTGCTGACTTACAGGACACCTGGGTCAGTCCCAGAGCAAAGCTACGTGGGAGTGGGACACTGGATCCTGTTGGACGACAAGATGACAAGGCAGAGAGGCAAGGGGAGAGCTGTCACAAAGGAGTAGAAGATGGCAATCTGTTACCTAAGGAGAGGCAAGGCAGGGAGGTGGGCAGGGGCTGGGTGGAAAGGGGCTGATGGACTTGCTAAGAAGCCTTGCAGTGGAAAGCGTTATGGTTTAGATCTGGAACGGCTCCTATAGCCTCATGTGCATCTCCCTCCCAGCTCCTCCCTCTGCTCTCTGCTTCCTCCCCATCATGACATGAGTAGCTTCCCTCCACTCAGCCCTTTTATGCTGTTGCTGTATTTGAGGCTGCTAACCATGGACCGACACTTCTGAAACTGTAAGCCAAAATGAACCTCTCTTCCTTCAAGTTGCAGGTTTCAGATAATTGTGTCTCAGCAACAAAAAGCGACCGAAACAGGAAGCCTCTGAGGGTCTTAAAGCAAAAAGGATAGGGCCATCCTCACTTTCTAAAGGTGGCTCTGCTTTCATGTGGAGGATGGATTGAGGGAGTCAACTTGGAGCTAGACATTGCTCCCCACGCCCACTATGATGCTGGCCTAAGCAGGGTGTGGGAGTGGTGAGAGATCCTGGAGAGCCAGGAGGTGGGCATCAGGGGTGATAACAGACGGACAGATTAGCAAAAGAAAACAGTGAAAGTTGGGATGCCTCATATTTCTGGCTGGGGTAGCCATGTGGTATGTGGGGGTGGGGTGGGGCAGAGCAAGGGTACTTAGTTTGAGGAGCAGGTTAAAGGACAAAGTGGTGAGTTTATTTGTTTATTCAGCACATATGTTGATTATGTACCAGGAAGTATTTTAGGTTATACAAAAATCCTGCACATCTTAACTCATGGAGTCTGTAGACTATAAGCAAGGCCTAATACACAGTTGTACTTCAGTATAAATAGGGGATTGGTTCTAGCCCTCCTGTGGATAGCAAAATCCTCAGGTGCCCAAGTCCCTTATATAAAACAATGAAGTATTTGCTTATAATCTTGCACATCCTCTCATATACTTTAAATCACCTCGATTGTTTATAATCCCTAAATGCTACATAAATTCTTACATTGTATTGTTTAGTGAATAAAGAGGGAAAAAGTGTGCACGTTTAGTACAGGTGCAATTTTTTTCCCCTAGTATTTTCAATTCATGATTGATTGAATGACCTTCAGATATAGAGGTCAACTGCATTGAGTCTGCCACATAGTTAAGGGTATAATTGAGAAACATCCTGCTAGGAAGGGGAATAGAAAACACTGGGGGAGCGAGGCAGGGGCTGTGATTTTCAATGAAGAGACCAGAGATGGTCTCGCTGAAGACATGGCAACAGCTGGAACATACCTCAGGGCACAAGGGACATAGGAGGCCTTGTAGCTGGGGGAGTGAGCAAGGAGCAGAGACAAGGACAGTAACAGGACATACAGTTAGTTTGAAGGCCACTGTGCAGATAGATTAGGGCTTTACTCTGAAAGAGGGAGAAACCACTGCAGGATTCTGAGCACAGTTGCAACGAGATCTGCTGAGCTTTGAAAGGATTACTGGGGCTGCTGCGTCGTGAATGGGTTGTAAGGACAGCAAGGAGAGCCTGGCCTTGAGAATGCCCACATTCTCAGTGGGGTGTGGGGAGAATGCCACATCAAGGGGGAGAATTCCATAAGGGGCTTGAGGTAGCAGTCTCAGGAATAGGAGTGGGACCTGGGAGAATCCTGGAAGGTGCACTTCCCAAAGGGAAGGAAATCACATGCTCCCAAGAGATCAAGTAAGAGGCACTCTGAGGAGTGTCCCTTGACTGCAGCAGTCCCTGTGGAGTGGCTGGGGACAGAAGTCAGGCGGCTGTGGGTTAACAGCATCACACATCCCCCTAGTGGTCTGCAGCTAGCGCTGGAGTGAGGAAGACCAACTGGGAGTTAAGCTAGGAGGCCTTGAGAGCCTCTCACATTTCCACCTCATCTCACCAGAGACAGAGTGACTGTCCAAGGTCACGAGTTCAGTGGGCATAGAGCCTGGCCTGAATTACACATCTCTTGGCTCCCAGGCAAATATTCTCCCAATGAGTTCTAATGTAATGTTAGCTGCTACATGTGAGCCCCTAAGTTTGAGGAGTTTAAAACAACAATGGCTTATTCCATGCATACATAATAGTCTAATGCAGGAATCTAACTGGCATTTTTCTCCTACATGGAGATTTGGGATTTCCTTCCATCCATCTACATTAATTCTTTTTTTAAAAATTTTTTATATTAATTCTTTATCTCATATATACGTTACAGGTTTTTTTGAGAAGCTAATAAAAGAGGTAGACTTTTTAACCAAACTAAAATGTACTTGTGCACTTTCACACAAAACTTTACACCCTTTCAAGGCACTCACAGAACCCATCAATTCATCTATAAAATTCCAAGGGACCCATGGATGCAGGTTAAAAACCCCTGCCTGGGGTCTCAGACACCACGCCAGTTGCATGATGGGGAAGAAAGGACAGAAAAGGCACATTGATTCCTTACAAATCCTGGCCTCCCAATGGAGCCCAACACCTCTATATACATTTCATTGGCAAAACAACTCAACCCAGTGTTGTGTCGGTGCAAAGGAAGACTGGACGTGTAGGTGTTGTTGGGACATCACAGTACTGTGGAGGGGCCCAGGTATTGATGGGCAATGTGCAGCCACCTCTGCCACACTTGTCCCCACTTCAGGCAGGAGTGCATGATGGTGAGGGGCTTCTCGCTTCTCTTCTTATACTGCTCCTTTCTCCTTATTTCCATTATGTCCAAATTCAGTCCATTGTCTTGGGTCCTTATCTAGGGTCCATCTCCTCCAAGACCTTTGATCTTCTCAATCCACCGCTGGCCCCTGGAGATCACAGCATCCTCATGTCACTTGGTTTTATCCTCTGGCAGCTCTTGCTACCTAGCACACCATGAAATGGGTCTAACTTTGTGTCCCACTCGACTCTCTCTCACATACTTCAAGTATGTCTGCTTCTCTCCTTGCCCTCTGCCATCCCCTGCAGGGAGGACAGTGTGTAGCCCTTCACTCAGAGAGGCCTTGGCACAGCTGGACTGGGCAGTGATGTTGACCTTTTGGGCCGATGAGGAAACAGAGTCTGAGTCAAGGGGAGTGACACGGGCCCACAGACTGTGACAATACGAGACCTTGGCTCCAGGTCCTCCAGCTCCAAAGCTACTGTCCATTACACCCAGGTGCCAACTTTACCTACTTTCAGCAGCACAGAGACAGTCCACCTGCGGTACCCCAAGCAGTGGTGTGTGCCAGAGATAAGACTGTGAGCCGCGTCATGCCTGTGCACAGCAGATGATCTGCCAATGTGCAAGGCAGGTTGACTCACACATGGAGAACAAAGGCCTCTGCTCCCTCCTTCCCCCACGACTGACAGTGACAGGAGACACAGGTGACTCTGCCTGGTACCAGGCATTATGCAGTCCTGGAGGACATTGAGGCCGAGCTCAAAGGCGGCCCTGACCATAAAGGAGCTTGCACTCAAGAACGTCTGCGCCAGTGTGGACAAGTATCACATCTAATTCTGCACTGGGTGATGGGCTCTATGTTCTCAGTTCATTAAACTGCAGACACCAGAGCGCTGTGGTTTCTTAATTAATTAAAAGACCACATGATAACCATTCTCTGATTTAATGTTCAAGAGCCACGGCAAAGTCTGGGAATGAGGAAATTCATTAGCGGAGACTATTCACTGCCAATTGATTCTCTTGTTCTTATTCATTTTTTCTGTATCACCCATCCCTGGGGAAAGGAGGAAGGCAATGTTTTTGTAAAGATACAGGAATTAGCTTCACCGTAAAACCTGAAGGAAAAAAAAATCAGCCTTTTTTTGGTTTAAGGTAAAAGGTGGACAAATGAACATTTGCTTTAGAATTACTGTGCTCTATTATCATCACGGTGTATGTTCCACAACCTGCAGTAGCAAACCCTATATACATTGTTTTTCCCTATACACACATATGAAAAAGCCTTATTTATAAAGCAAGCACAGTAAGAATTAACAACAAAAACAAATAAAATAAAATGACCCTAATATACCATAATAAATTATATGAAGGTTTTCTCTCAGAATTCCTTATTGGGCAGCCACACAGCTGTTTCAAGAAGCCTTTGGCACACGGTGGCCTGCTGACACCCCACATATGCACTCCTTACCTGGCATCTTGTACCTTTCTGCTACCCACTATCAATGTCTGCATTAGAGATGACAGTGTGTGCATCAGCGAGTGAATAAAATACTTACACAGTGGGATATGCACATTCAGAGGGACTCAGAAGGATCAGGCTGGCAGTAGTGTAAAGTGATTAGGCTTGGTTAAAAATTGCAAGAAAGCCAGCTACTCCAGAGGCTGAGGCCAGAAGAGCGCAAGTTAGAGACTAGCCAGGGCAACTTAATGTCTCAAAGTAAAAATAAAAAAGGTTAGGATGTAGCTTAATGGTAGAGCCCTTATCTAGTAAGTGGAAAGCCTGGGTTCAATCCATAGTACCATAAAAAGATGGGGCAGGGACCAGATGGAGAGGTAACCCCAGTGTAGGTGTGAGAGCTAAGGAGGGTTTAACTAAAGTAGTTGATGTCAACAGAGAAAGGGCAGGATGCGTGAGGGATGACAAAGAAGCAGGAGTGGGACCTGAACCACCTACAGCAGTCTTCCCAAGACAAAGAGACCACAAAGATCATCCTTACAAACATTTATTTTTAGGGTGTAGGGGTTGGGACACCATAGCATCTAGGAAAATAGTGTAGAAAAGACACATCAGCACAGGTTCTTGGACTTCAAAGAGGACTTGGGAGTTTTTAATTCAAAACCATTAGTTTGAACAGTCATGTTAATGCACCTTATTGCCACTGGTGAGGAGGCAGGTTCAATATGATTCAAATGGCTTCACAGAATGTGCTTCTTATCAGATGCGGTTCTACTACCTTCTCCAGAGCCATGGCAGCCCCATTCCTTCGGACATAACTGGAGTGTCTGACCAAGCCATCTCTAAGCCATGCAACTTACAGGGGAACTAAAAGCAGACTCAGAGGTGGAGATACTCACAATGGAGGGGGGATGAGAAGGGCAGGAAGTGCTGAGTGAGCTGAGGATGCGAACAAGTCCCCCACCCCACCCACAAAGAGCCAAGGGTGGCTTCCAATTTGATCGGTTCCAATCCCCACTTTACTTAGAGAAGGGACGCCAATGTTTTAAAAAGTTTGAAAATCATTCATCAAACTTCACACCCTTCCTATTCAGATGAGGGTGTAGAGGCCCAGGGAGTAAAGGGGACCCACAGTCACAAAGCAAGCCGGGACGAACTACCTATATGGACCTCATGTGCCCAGGTTGGCCTCATTCTGTTGTGGAGGACATCAGGGTGCTACCTTCCCCACATTTTGCACAGCAAATGGCCACACTTAAAGATAAGAAAGTTCAATTCTAACAAGTACTCAAGAACCTAATGCCCAACTTGAGAGGCACGAGTGCTCTTAAAGTCAAATTGGGTCAGGCGTGGTGGTGCATATCTGTACTCCCAGCTACACTGGAGGCTGAAGTAGGAGGATTAAAAGTTCAAGGCCAGCCTGGGCAACTTAGCAAGACTGTTTCAAAATAAAATATAAAAAGTGCTAGCAATGTCGCTCATTGGCAGAACACCTCTGGGTTCAATCGCCAGTACCTCAAGAAATTGAGTTGGGAGTATAGCTCAGTGGTGAAACACTTGTGTAAGGTCCTGTGTTCCATCCTCAGCACCACAAACAAAACAAAACAACAAAAAAATGAGCTCCACCTTGGTGAGAACCCTGAACTGGTGATGGCACTGTTTCCCTGGTTTTAAGGTCTTCCTGGAAAAAAATCACCATAGAGTGGGAAGTAGACAGGATCTTTGCTCAGAGGCCTCCAGAATTGGACAAGGAGTTTCCTTCCCATAGTCTAGTTTCTTCATCTATAACAGAGGCAGGACACTATTCCTGTGCTGCCTGCTCTCCTGGAGCTGGGCTCATGGGTGGGACAGTGCTACATCCACTTTAAGGCCTAATGTGAAGAAATTCTAATCACCTAGAGAGCCACCAGATAGTAAATATTCTCCTTTTGCCATTAAAAAGGAAGAAAGCCTTATTTTTAGATGAGGTCAAAATGTCTGTAAAGTAGAACGCAATGTACTATGCTGTGAGCCAATGGCCCAGAGGTAACACTCAACACCCTCCACCCGCTTCCACACTGAAGCCAGATCTCACTGCCCACCTGCATAGAGTGCTGGAATAATAGTAGATGGTGTGGTTCCAAAAACTCACTCACCTACGGGGCTCCTGAGTCCAGTGAACTGTCCCATTGAATCTTAAGCTGAGGAAAAGGCAGGGATAGAAGAGCCACACAAGCTGTCCACACCCTGGTATGAGGTGATAATTTGTTTTGGGGGGGAATACCATTTTAAGAAGAATGCTAAGACCATACTTCCTGTTTTTCTGTATAGGGCTACCTTACTCTAGGGTGGCAGGGCTAGAGAGATACAGGTGACTTCAGTTCAAATGCCACAATCACAGGTGAAGGACCAAGACCCAGAGTGGGTAAGAGACCCGTAAGGTCACACTGCAAGTGAAAAACAGGCTGAGGAGAATTGGGACCTTCCTCCCTCCTTCTACAACACATGCTAAATCACAGAGCACCCACTAACCAGTCACAGACACATGAGGTATGAGTCACAGTTGACAGAGGCTTTGTTTTGAGCCCTTTAAAACTGCAAACATACCATTATGTTATCTCCCTGGGAGGGAGTAGTTAAAAAAGAATTCGCATGGAACAATCATTCCAAAAGTATAAAAAAGCTACATGCATGTCTATTTGCCCCGTTTGCTATGCTAAAAACTACATTTGCTTACAAATCTAGTTCATATCCAATATTTAAAAACATACAAAAGAGGTCATCTACAAACACAGTTTTTCCAAGTCTTCACAAAGCAAAAAGATCCAGCAGTTGACTTTTCTGTTATCCTTGATCAATGTCTCTAAGACCCTGGGAAGAAAAAGAGGAAAAAATGAGAGAAAAGGAACCACTGTGTGTTAAATGGGAGGTGCAGGAAATGATCCCTAAATTCAAATGTTTCTTTGCAAGAAATGGTGCCAAGGAGTGTTGGAGGGGTCCTGCAGGGGTCTGAGAACACAGAAGACCAGCAGTGGAGACTTCAGAGGCACACACTACAGTCCAATATGAGGAAGACCTTTTCAACTACTGGAAAATGCCAAGGTGGTTACCTGGTGGTAGTGAGCTCTAAGTTCCTGGTGGCATGCAAGAAGAGCTGGCCACTATTGCATGTTTAGAGGAAAGTCAACACTTGAATGTATAATAATATATGTAAGATGTTATATAAAATAATACATATAATAACATATCTACATAAAACAAAAAGTCAACTATCAGGAAGACAACTTCAAAACGTTATTTCCTAACTCTTTCCTGAATTCTATTTTATAGTTTTATGCTTTCACCTTTTCCCACATTTCTAGGACCTCTAAATACCCGCAGACACTTGCCTTTCAACCCCAATGCCACTGCCTCAGTGACATCTGCCCTCATTTTCCGCCGTTCTAGGATTTTCTCCTGCCCTGAAACCCTCACGCCTCCCTTGTTCCCCTAATGCAGTCCTTGCGTTCTAATGATGTTGACTTTTTGTTTTTCTTTTATCCCCTACAGACCTGAAGAGGCTTGCAACAACAGTGGTCACAAGGTTATATCTGAACAGAACTAGAGCAAAATCCTGCTGCTTTTACGAAATCCCTGTTTCTATTTCTCCTGCTTTATTAAAACCCTGTGGGTCAGCTTTGGGGATGGTGCCTGGTCAGGCCAGCTATCTGCGCATTCTGCATCCCCACACTTTGTCTCCAGAGAGAGGAGCACACACTGCCCGGATCATCCATCCTGGTGTGGTCCGTGATCTGCACTGGCCGATGCACTGTACGCAGATGGGACAGTGGTGTACATTACATCTGAGTCGGACTTTAAATGAGACTGTGTAGCTGGCTCAGCCACTTATTCATCCCTCCTGCCACAAGAATGGGTGTAGTCCACATCGGGGCTGCTCCTCCAGCAGGGTCTCAAACGAGAAGAGATGTGGAGCACAGCCACAGCCAGCCCCTAGCAGTAACACGGAACGCGAGCAAGGGATAAATGTGTGTGGCTATGAACCAGCAATGTTTGGGGTTGCTGCACAGCAAAAGCTGGCTGAGAAAGTGGTTCATTCCCCAAGTTCACAGTCACCTGTAGACAGGGCACAAATGCAACCCCAGCGTCACCTGTCTGACTAGGAGGAATAAGGGCCACTTTGGTCTTTGCACTCTGCCCCTCTTCTCCCCGAGATGTGTTGCTAAGCAGCACGCAGGGCAGTGAACAGCAAGGTGGGGCCTGGAGATGGCAAAGTTGTCCATAAGGAAGTGTCCTGGGAGGGGACACACAAAACACAGCGGTCTTCTCTGCAGGAAGGTTTCCACGTGGATGCTGCCCCCGTGACGTGGCCTGCCACCTCTCTCAGGCCTGAAGGAAGTATTCTTCCAGTCTCAGAAACAGGAAGACACTACCAGCTTTTTCACGCGCATGTCCCCAGCTCTTGACTGGGGAGGTCAGAGAAAAGTGCAGAATGGACCAGCAGTTCCTCCTGCTCACCTTCACGTGGCCCGGATTTCCCCTGCTTTCCTCTGGCTTCCTCCACTTACACACTTCTCTTCTTTGTTGCTGCACATCTAGAAGGCCACCTCAAAACTCTTGGGACACAGGTATATAAAGAATGAAATGGCTTAAAACATACCTTTGTCCATCACAGGCGGTCAGCTGGAGCTGGGGAGCGGGGGCTTTTGTACCTGCTCAGATCTAGGACCATCACTGTACCATGGGATAGGGCTTCCCCAACCGCGTTGGCCGCGTGACACTGGTACACGCCCTCATCTTCCTTTCTCAGGGGACTGATCTAGGCACACAGCGGGCACATGTACAGTTACATACAGCACAGAAAAGGACCTAGTTGGTTCTTAAGGATACATTTGCTCACTTGATTCTTTTCAGAATAAGATCAACTCCCATTTGTCTTCTTGCCTTGACTGCCAAGAAGCTCATAGTGAAACGTCCTTCTTGGGGACCCTCTTGAAGGGCATGTCCCTTATTGTGGCTTTCAATTTAACAATTCCTCTGCATCCCTGCCTTTCATTCTAGCTGCCTAGACCTTTCATTGAAGGAGACATGAACAGATTACGAGGAAAATACTGCACCTTAAAAGAGAAAAACTCTACTGGACCCATAAAGTATTGCCTATGGGGGTGGCCTTTATAAACTGCATTGCAAGACCTTCAGCTGGGTGGAGAATCATTACAGCTCCCGAGCTGTGGGGAAACTGAGAAAGGCATCCTTGGAGAGCATTCCAATTCCGTCACTCTTCCAAACACTTGGCTTTCCTTTTAAACAAAAATGCTGCAACTGACCTAAGAGAACCACGGAGGGGATCCTAACTGTGCCTCTTCCCTCTTCATCAGCTAAGTGGTCTTAGGTGGATTAGTTTCTGAGGGCTGCTGTTACAAAACATTTCAAACTTAGTAGCCTAAAATACAAATTTACCATCTATAGTTCTGAAAGTCAGAAGCTTACTAAATGGGCCTCAGGAGATTAAAAACATGGTGCAGCAGTACTCCCATAGCTCTAGGGTATAAACTGTTCCCTGGCCTGGTCCAGTTTCTAGAGGACACCAGTTGTGCTAGTGACAATACTGACCGTCACCCAGGCATGGTAGAACATGCCTGTAACACCAGCACTTTGGGAGGCTGAGCGAGGAGGATCCCAAGTTCGAGTCCTGCCTGAGCAGTTAATGAGACCCTGGCTTAAAATGTAAAATGAATGAATGAATGAATAAATAAATAAATAAAGGCCTGTAGCTCAGTGTTAAAATAGTGGGCTCAATCTCAGGATCAAAAAAAAAAAAAAAAAAAAAAAAA